TCGGGAGCGCTACTTCTCCCATCCCCACACCCTGAGTTATCTTCTCAGATGTCTGGGAGCAGATTCCCCCTTGTATAAAAAAAGAGACTCCAAACTGAAATAATTTTGTAGTTAATTATTTTATCGGTTTGGTATATTCAGATGAAATATTCAAAAACAATAGATCTATCTCATATGCGTAGTCGGAGGGTGATGGGAGGGGGGGGGGTGGTCACTCATATCAATAGAAGTAAAGTTTCAAACTGAAATAAATTCGGTGTTTCTGATCTTGTCAAGTTGGTATGTTCAGATGTATTCAAAAACATGTGCTCCATTTAATAGGCGTAGTTAGATATGGGGGGGTGGGGGGCTTACTGTATGCTTTCCGGCCCTCACTTATATCAATGAAAGTAAAGATAAAGAATAAAATAACTTCGGAGTTTCCCATCTCTTGAGTTGTTCGGATGGGTTATTCAATAACATTTGCTCAATCTCATAAGAGCAGTTGTAAAGCGAGTACTCCCTACTCTTTTGGTGCAATATACAATGTCAGATATATTCACACAAATGTCATTGGATTGTAATGATTATATTTCATTTTAATATATTCTACAATTTCTCAGGGTACTCGTTTCGGTGCTGTTCTATCCCTTGAAGCAAATATTGCTTTTGAACTAGGTCTCGGGTAGATTTCTTGATAAATCAGAAATTAGTTTCACTCCTCATTAAGCCACATCGTTGAACACCATCAAGGAAGCAACTCTTCGTATCGCATTGAAATAATCTCTCGTTTGCCGGTTTTTGCATGAAGCCGGTCGAAATTTCGAAAAGGAATCAGCACTGTTAAAAGTGACGTTTGGCTTGGGACCCCAACTGAAACTTAGCCCACTTAAAGTTAGCCCAACAAGCCAAATCCGACTGTACCTGTGTCTGAGACGAAACTGATGAAGACAGTTTTCGTTTTCTCTTGTTTTTGGTTCTTGACGTACGACTACTACCGTGTTTTCTATTATGCGGGTGGCCTCAATCACAGTTTCATATTTCAAATAAAAGCTTTGTATAGAAACATAAAATTTTCCAGCTGCTAATAATTCAAACCACATCTCCTCACGAACAAATGAACAGACAAGTGGATATTAAAAATTTTCACCACAACAAGTTTCGTTTTAAAAGCTGCATATAGTAAGACAGCCCCCCCCCCCCCGCTTTCTAACAACGCTTATGAGATTGAGCAAACGTTTTTGAATAATTCATCCTGAGCATACCAAATCGATAAGATAAGAAACTCCGAAGTGATTTCAGTTTGGAATCTGACTCTCCGGCAGTGTTGGCAGAAAAAGGGATTTTTGGTGTTTAATTCAAACCATAACTATTTGAACAGCTATAACTTTTTTTATATACATTATAGCACCGTACTTCCTTTGGCAAAGTTGTTAGGCATTTCTTGGACTATATTTGTACATACTTAGTTGCACGGTTCATGCAAAATGTGGTCTCTAGAGATAAAAATGCAAAAAAGTTGGTTTTCCTATACTAATTTCCATACAAATTTCAAACGCAATGCGGAAAGCCGAGTTACAACCAATCGTCCCCAAATTTTGCACAGTTGTTTGGGACTTCAAATGGAATCGAAAAAGGGTTGTTCTCAAGCTTGCAAATGCTCATTACAGCTAAAATGCTATTTTTCGGATTTATGAAGCTATGAAATATTTTAATGATAATTCTTATTGACAAGATGCAAGAAGAAAAGGTAAAGTATTTATAAGATACATAAAACTTGTTAATTTAGCTTTCAGAGGACCACAATAGTGATTAGCTGTAACGATGAGCAACGCGATGAGCGAGCAATTAGAGATCATAAAATCGCTAGTTGTGACCTTCTGAAAGCAAAATTGATAAATTGTGTATGTCATACACAAACTTTACCACCCATGCTTGCTTCTTGCAAATAAAAAATATCATTAAAGTATCTCATAGTTCCATGATTCCGAAAAATAGGATTTTAGCTGTAATGAGCAATTGCAAGCCTGGTTGTTCTCGATTGGTGAGGTAAAGTTTGCGTTTTTCCATACAACGACGACCCTCTCTAGTGGCCAACCATACCCCGAATGATTTTTTTCTTTCATTATTTAGCTTTTGTTTTGTTTGGTATAAAACATCATCAAATGAAAAGGAAATTTTCTGAAAATGCAATTAGGAAAAGTACTCTAAAGATCAATAATCACTAAATTTATCGCAGAAATTTTATAAAGTTGTGGTTAAATTTTACTTGAAGCTTAAGGTGGACGTCTTACCCCGTCATTCCTAAATAACATCTAATGATTTCACAATTTCAAAAAAACATGTTTTCTGTCAAAATGAGTTTCATCAAACTAGCCAGTGATGTCAGGGAGGCCGTGTAGGACCAGTTTGAGCGCCTTGTTGACCACGATATCGTGCAAAAAATACTCCACCTCTATTCGCTTCAGCAGCTCTTGAACCGCTGCAGACCTGGGCTGAAAGGCTCCTTATTGTGGTGTTTACATCTGTGCGGATTTGCTAGCGCTAGTGTACTAGTTAGCATTGTACAAAAAAGTATCCAGCATAATGTAAACAGAGCATCAGCGTCTACCAGCATGAGATTTCAGGAGCACCTGAAAATCGTGCTAGTTTGTTGAACTGGTGAGCTAGTGAACTAGCATAAGTGTAAACAGCCCATTAATAGAGAAACAACAGCATTAACAAGAATATCTTGAACCATCAGTTTATAGCCCTTCGACACAAGGTGCAAATCTTTTTCGATGCACATCCCAACAAACAATTTTAGTTGCAGACTAGCTTAAGCAGCCAAAATTTGCCTTATGCAGCTAATTTTTGCCTGTATAAGCTAAGCTGCAGTTAAAATTGTTTGTTGGGATGTCGAGATTTTTACATAGGTCGGTGGGGAATCCCTTCACGATGATCGGCGGCACTCTCTCCTTCTTTTTTGCCTTCGGTTCGGCCCAGATTAGCAAAACGGTATAGGGGCCATTTTTAATTGCGTCACGCTAAATTGAGAAAAATGTACCCCCCCTCCCCTCTACCGACATGTTTTTCCTATACCAAATGCATTTCTTGTCACAAATTCATACACCCCTTAGAGCGTGACATAATATATGCATCACCCCATAGCGGTTGTTAGCCAGCTTTTTCGACGGCGGCGTCTAATCGGAATCGTTTCGCGGGCGGAATTACTCTCGTGTGATCACGAGGTTCACCAAACACCGCGAAAAAAAGAATGCGAACACTATGGGTCAGTCAGTTTTGCGTTTTAATCAAATGGAAGTGGCCCATAATTGTAGGTGACCCACAATACTGGGGTGACTGTACGCTCATTTATAACATTGCTATCGGCCCATCTCCCTCTGTTCTCTCAATATCATAGCAAGCAAGCCCGTGATTGGTTGATTACGGCTAAGAAGTTTGATAATGTTTCAATAGTTTACTAACGATAAACTTCTATAATATTTTATTTATTTATTTATTTTAGTTAAAAGTGATTAAAATCTGCACTTGCACCCCAGTACTTCCTAAATTCGTTTTCCATCTTCAAAAGTTCTTCTTCGTAACATTTCTTGAGAAGAAATAAAAACATTTATGTGTCAAATCAGTAAGAAACCCATATTTACTTACACATTATTGATTTATTCGCCATTTGTATTTATGAGCAAAAAGAGAAAGATGTCCTTTCAGTTAAATAAAACAGCATCCCATATTCCAACTATCAACTTTTATTTTCGTCTTGTCATTCTTTAGTTGTGAAATATTGTAGAACTAACTGAATCCAGGGCTGCTGTTACTGCGCTATATGGAGCATAATCTGCTTGCTTCATATGTTTTTTTTTCATCATGTGTGATTCTTTTGAGCATTATAATGTGACATTTTCAGCGTGAACTTGACTGCAGTTGCATCGTGGCATAAAAATGTAATTACTTCCTTTGCATTTGGGATGATGCAATATACTTCTGTGTGTTCCCTATATATTCAATCATTTTTAAATGATTTATAAACTTTCTGTCACTTAGGTCTATCTACTGCATATTTTTCATTAATGTGTTTGCGAAAACTTTTTCTTCACTTTGTTCTGCACTATTGTGGCTCACTTTCAATGAATATGCTCAATCATGATTACATGCATTTGTTCATGAGAACATTTTTCATTAGCTGAATATAGAAGATATGTTGTGTTGAAACTAAAGCAAAATCAAATATTAGCTTGCAAATTTTATTCTAACAGAAATTTTCAACATCTAATATAAAGCTTTATTCTAACATTAGCTAATATGCAGTTCCGCAAGTTGTAGGGACATTTTTTTTCTTTGCAATTTGTTTGTTTATAGTGTTTAATTTCAACCGGGTATTTACAGAAAGAATTTTGAGTGAGATCAAGCAAATGGCCTAACAGTTTGATGATGATAAAATTCTAAGAAAGATGTTGCATATATGTGCGAATGAAACGTGTCAAGGATGACGAGAATAGTGCTACTTAGGAGGAGATCACGAACGAAAGTTTATTTAACGGTAATTATATCTAGATAAAAACTTCCCCTAATCAGTTCCATTTTCTAAGGATCAGTGGTTCACTTTGTTCGTCTAGATTTTGGCATTCCTTACACATTAATGCTAGTTTATCGTCTCTTTTAGTAATAAATGCTTCCATCTTATGTATATTCTTTTATTGATTCATAGATGACTTTATGTTGGTTGATCTTTAATAAAATACTACAACTTCATTTGCGCTGTTTACGTAAACGATTCATAATCATTGTTTAGAGATAAAAATCGTTTTCTGTTTTTCACTCGTATCGAAAGCAATAACTATTGTGACGCATTTAAGCTCTAGTTTGTCATCGTGCTACTCGTCCATTTGTCTTCAACCTCTGTATTCCCATTACTGACAGCACCATTCGAGATGTGAAATTCATAGAATATTTCAACGCATTAAACTAAGGTATGGAACTCAAACTTCTGAAGAGAATTTTTCCCAAGCTGCAAGCGAAATTACTTTTCCGTCTTCGAACGCGTTTTTATAACTTTTTCCGTCTTTTTCGAACGAGGTAATGTGGTGCAGCTTGCGGACATTTTATCCTGGAATTGGAAATGTATAGATTAGAAATTGCATTGTAAGTCGACAAGTTTGAGTTAGTATTAAGAACGAAATATGTTAAGTACAGCAATCTTCGCACTGGTCGAATAAGTCACATGATTATCTTAGCTACATAAAATGTATAATTAGTATTGCACAACAAAAAAATAATTTTAATATTACATCCAAGAGGATGCACTTCAATCATGTCGAAAATCTCATGTAATTTTTATGGCCACAAAAATAAACAAATGCAGTAAAAGCAGCGTAATGTCGGTTCATGCCCTGTATTAATGATAATTTTGTCCTTTTTGGCAAGTAACATTACACCATATTTTCAACACAATTGAAGTGCATCCACTTTGATATGATATTAAAATTAATTTTTTGCTGTGTGTGAACTGATGTTTATGTGTGTCTATCAGAAATAGGGGGAAATATCGTGTGGGATCGAAAGTTTTACACGAGAGAAATCCATCTACCTCGTACACATTCCACCAGGTGGACGGATGCTTATGTATACGAATTTCGTACACCTTAGCAATCCACACAATACTATGAACCCCTGAAGAAAAACAGATATGTTCAAATGCGTTACGCAAAATGAATTGTGTATTTACAAATGGTTGAGATATACATAAGTGCTGGCTTACAATCAGCATTATACAGTATTAACAAGTATTCTAAAAATGAGGTAATTGTATGACAATCGCAAGAGCTTTTAAGCATTTTAACTAAAACCACGTGCTCAGAATTTGTTCGTTGTACACTTGTAAATGCAATGTTTATTTCGAGCATTGTCACAAACACAAACAAACAAAATTTGAAAATGGTGAATATTTTATTTTCCAAAACAAACGAAGCCGAACAATACAAAAGGTCCAATTAACATTGAACAATTCCAAGCCCGAATTTACAAGTGGCCAGTAAGGCTATTGCCAGTGGCACCCACCAATTTTAGTAATTTTAATATCATAAAATAGAACCATGTTTTGTATGGCTTCATATGATAGGATCATGATTTTATTTTCACAATCAATTGGGAGTGATCATCAAATTACATAAGGATTTTTGAGTGCTTATTGGATCCCCTCCCCCTTGTAAGACACTGTAAGATTTGAGGGGAGGCCTTTCTGTTAATACTCCTCGCCCCACCCTAAAATCTTAATATGATTTAAAAATGTTCAGAAAATCGTTAAATAAGACATTTGCAGCAATGAAAAAAACAGGGCAACACACATAACTAGCGTTTAGAACTAAGGGCTCAACAGCGACGATACCCAACTAACAATTTTCGCAATGTAAACCGTTTTACTCACTTCATTTATACAGCCACAAGCTGTGTTCAAATGTTATACGATATGAGGAAACCTTTACTCAACCTCTATACAAGCAAATCTGGCGAACTTAGTCAGCTACTTATGGCTGTTGGGACAAGCTCTTATTGCATACCCATTAACACTTCTATACAGCTGTTATCCTGCTGCTTAGTTGTGTGTGAACTTGAAAAGCGCTTACTCAACCTTTACCCTATCCAATAATCACTACACTGCTTTCTCTTGACGCCAGGTTAAATATTGTTTAGGCTGTGGTGGATACGGCCCTGCGCAAGCAATGCGCAGACGGACGATAAAATGTATGTAAACAAAAAGATCAGCATAAACGCGATCACGCCACTCGGGCAGCGAACGCAGTTTGTGCTGATCCAGCAGAAAGGGTCACGTCCGCCACCGCTAGGTAGGTTAAGTTAGCATAAGAGAGAAGTAATAACATGATTCTTAGTTCTAACACGGAGGCGAGCAGTTGAGTTGATTTTATCATACCGAAAGCCAAGTGGCTAATACTAACAGATAGAGGAAAAACTTTTCATGGCGATCCTGCCAGGAGCTCTAAGGAACAGTAGATGAGTGCTGCAAATTGTGTGCCGTTAATTGAACGCTACCGCCGCCGCGACGAAAAGTGATAATTAATGACGAACACAAAGTGTGTTTGATCGAGTTCGAACAGCGAGTGCACTGCGATGCGATGCGGCAGAAAACCAACCGGTCGCGAAAAGAAAGTTTCTGTGATTAACAGGCCAATAAACTACAATTACAACAGCCAAGCCTGATAGATGGTCGTTAAATTAGTGAAAACAGTGGAAAAAATTTAGTAATCAAACGAAACCGCGAGTGACAATATGGGTTGGTTCAGTGCGGACGAAATCGTCGCCGCACCAGCCGCCGCGAGTGGGGGACAGCCACAGCCCCAGTGTGGACATCATACAACCCAAACAGTGGCTCTGTGTGCCATGGCGGTCTTTGCCGCTGGCTATTTGATTTTCAAAGGAGTAGCGAAGATCAACCGCCACAACACTGAGCGCGTTGCCGAGAGGGCGGCACGCCGTGTGAATGCGCAAGTTTAAGGTTTGAAGACGGACTCCTCTCAATAAGTAAATTGACAAAACTTTGACCGATATTCAAGTGCAAGGAAAAATATTTGAAGCCACTGCTGGGAAATCTTACGAAGTGCTATTGGAAGTGCGGCTAAAGTCCAGTGGAAGCTGAAATTTACAATAAACCACCACCCCACGAGTGCGCATGGAAGAAAAAAAAGGCGAACCGTAAAAGACAAAGTGAACAAAAATTAAAAAAAAAAAAAAAAAAAACATTGAACATGTGGACAGTATCGATTTCTTTATAGTTGCTCAAGCGATAGAGCAATTTGAACGCGAAAAAAAAGTTTTGGGAACGAATTTCCCGTAGAGACAAAAAACTATCTGTGGAAGTGATGGCCGCGAAGCGTGCAATCTTTGAAGCGGTATACAACCTGGCAGCAGGAGCTGCCCTGAGGATAAGGTCGGCAGGCCTCATCGAGGACTTAAACTGGGCCTACAACGGCCTCAAGATGACCGTAGATGCTGTGAAGCCCTAAGTGAGTCGCCGTGCTGTAACGACGAGAACGTAGTCGTCATCGTCGTCGTTGCCGGTTTGCAGAACAAAAAGGGAAGCGATAGTAAGTGCCTGATAAAATGAACTGATATCGGAAAACATAATCATATAATCAAGTTGCATAACACTAGTAACAAGTAAGGTGTGTTCTAGAACCTTTTCCAATATTCAATGTTTACAAGAAGAGAAAAAAAAAATAATCTCAATGCATTAAAGTGTAAATCTAATAGAGTTCTACTAATAGGACTCCCAATATTTATATAGGCAGTGGAAATTTTTGTTTTGTGCATTATAATTACTTATTTACGATTATATCGATCTACATGATTCTCTATTGCTTTACTCATTTGTCGATTTTCTTGCTAATGAATTGAGTACATGACTAAAAGAGCGTAAATTTGCATTTAAAGTTGGAAATTTTTCCGAAACATACATTGATATCACATAAGAAATTATTTCGAGAAATCAGGTCGTCACTGTGTTCCCTAATTGGTATTAAAGTTCTCCATTGTGGAAGATTAGCAAAGCAAGACGAACCGAAGCCATTATTTCACACTATGAAGCTATTTTAAGATATTTTCTGAAAACCTTCTAACTTCTTGAGTCAAATCCTCTGAATTGTCTATGTTAGGTCACATTGTAGGCATACATGGACCAATATGTAGAAAAAGAGACAGTAGTGAAAAATTTATTAAAGGCTGTTGCCACAGTTAACGCAACGAGCCCCCAATATTCCAAAAAGAAGGATACGGTGCTCAGACACGTAACTTCACTGCAAAAGTTTGTACTGTCATTAGCAAACAAGAAGATTGACAACGCGTTCGCAGCATTTAGGCTGCAAGTTAACCAATTTTTCATAAGAAAAGAGCAGGAAGAAGAAGCAGAAGGTGAACAGGAAGAAGAATCCGAAAGCGAATCTGACGAAGAAAAAACTAAGCCCATAATGCCGCCCAAACTGGATCTTAGCTTGGCAATCCGCGTCGTGGATAAATACGACGGGGATGCAGCCACGCTACAATCCTGGTTGGATAGCGTGCAGGTTCTTCGGGAGGACGATCCTACCGTCCCGGAGGCCAATTTTATTAATTTTTTGAAATCGCGGTTAATTGGTGCCGCGAGGGGATCCATTGATGGAACCCAAACACTGGCAGATGCGACAACTGCCTTGAAAACAAAGTTCGCAATTCAACTTACACCTATTGCGGTGGAGGCTGAATTACGAGCTTTGAAGCAAAAGAACAAAACAGTGACGGATTTTGGCAGCGAGGTAGAAAAGCTCGCTACCAAATTAGCGTCCGCATGGGTTTCGAAGGGTGTGCCCTTCACCACTGAGGCCTCAGCGAAGCCAGTAGTGGAACCCATAGCAGTGCAAACCTTCATAAACGGTCTTAAGGATCAATCAGCAGCTTACCTAGTGAAATCTAGGAATCCAAAGACGTTGACTGCTGCTATTTCGGATGCATTGGAGGTGCAACCTCATGCATCCGCTGAGTCCGCAATGTGGGCTCAGGGGGGTTATCAACCTCCATTTTTCAACAGGGGAAACCGTAGAGGTAACCACCGCCAGGCCGTGGTAACAATTACCATGGTAATCGTGGCGGTAACCGAAACTACGACGGGAATGGTCGCAACAATCGACCGCATCAAAACAACAATGGTTATCGGGGTAACCAAAATAATCAAGGTTACCGTGACGACCATGGAAACAATCGAAATCAGAATCACAACCGTGGTGGATATCACGGAAATAACAACAATAATAGCAGTAACAACAACAGCAACAACAACAGTAACCGCAGAAGAAATGCGAACGTGGCTGAAGAACCACAGCCGTCGCAACAGCAACAACCCCGAGAAGAAGCAAACGTAGGGGAGTTTTTTCGCTAATTCGATCAATACTAATAGAGCATTACGGTTAGATTTTCTAATCGATGCCAAAAATTTTAAGTTGATAGTGGACAGTGGTGCATCATGCTGTCTCATAGATCAACGTTATTTAACAAAAAATTTGAACAGATGCATTGATCCATCCCGTACCATAGAGGTGTATGGTATAAATGGAATTACCAACA